GCGGAATCAATGCACAGCAGCAAAGCGATTCATCTGATTTAGGCTTCGATGTCAGATAGCTGATCCCAGACAGCTCTCGGAAAACCTCCAGATCACTCTGGCTCTTCTCCGTTGCCGCGACATGGTGCCAACAACATGCTGGTTCGCAGGCGCAGGTGCTCCAATTTCAACACTACTGCACTTAAGGGAGCAGTCAACCCATCTCGGAGCCCAGAACTCTGAAACCCTGGCAGGCGGGTAGATACCTTTACAGGACGACGTGCTGAAAATTGCAAGCAAGGGCAGCTGGGTTTGCAGCTGCCCCTGTTCCTGGTCTCCTCACCCAGGGCTCTCAGGAAGGAGTGGGCCCAAGTGTTCTGGTCGTTCGGAAATCCGATTACCAAGCAAGCCCTCAGAGCTAGGTCCCCCCCTCCCCCCCCACAAAAAAAAAGAAAGACATACACCCCAAAACCCCCCCAAACCTTCTCATTTTTTTCGGCTCTGTAACAAATTCACTGTCTGTGGCCCACTATCTATGGCCTTTCTACGGTTATAGGTTTTAGGAATGATACGTATTCAACACTCCCTCTCATCAACCACAGTCCTGCGATCTTGTGTACTTATATAAACCTGAGCTGTTCAGTCCAAAATTCTGACACCACTCATCGCAAAGTCCGGTGTGAGTTCCGGATAACTGGCTGCAGCCACACATCCCTGGTTTGTTTCTGTAAGCTTTTGAAGGGGATCCCTAAGCCCTAAACCCTAAACCCTAAACCCTAAAACCTTAAACCCCTAAACCCTTCAGCACGATTGCGCAGGCTTTTACTCCTTCCCGCGAACCGAGGATCTGCCCAGAGACCCTGTCACGAGGAGTTGTCAAAGCCGACAAAATCCACGCAAGACTGTTCGGCTTCTGGGCCAAAACTGTACAAACATTGTGGGGTTTAGGGTTTAAGGCTTAAAGGTTCAAGGTTCAGGGTTTAGAATTTAGGAGTTTTGGGTTTAGGGAAAAATCGCGCGGGCTCGTTAAACTGTAGGATCACTTATCAGGAGTCCAGACAGCAAGGGTCCTACTAGTTACAATGAAAAGTGCGCGCCGAGAACCATGATACCAAACTCCCGAAACCTCAAAACCCTCCAGCCTATAGACCTAACCGCAGGGGTTGAACCCTCAGTCGCATCGTACGCACGGACTTGTGCAAGCCGACAAAGCCCGCGCCTCGCACCGTAGGGCTGCGGCTGCGTTTGAGGAGCTCGGGTGGTTATGATTTTGAAGTTAAGTTCATGTGTTTTGCACATTTTAATAAATACAAACTTAGTGTTCGCTGTCTACTTTGTAGTGGCGTATCCTGGGATTCTGGATCCGAAAACCCTAAACCCTATTAGGGAGTCGCTTTGCTGAGGCCACTAGCAAGTGTGTTCGGGAGATCGGAGGTGATTTGGTTTAGGGTTTACCTGCACCCTGGACTGGAGAGCCTACTCTTCCTCTCCTTATATAAGTCCCCAAAAAAGTAGGTTATTCGGGGTGAAGGTAGGGTTTAGAGCAAACCGTGAACGATGAACCGCAAACCCTGCTGGTGGTTCAGGAGGCCCTAAGTACAGCTACAGCTAAGCATGACTTGACTACGGCTTAGGGTTTAGGGTTTAGGGTATTTTGAAGTCAAACCCTATTAAACACCTTACCTGAACAAAGGATGATAAACCACGATGAAAAAAACTGATAAAACCCCGCGTAGTCACAGCGTATATTGATGGTGGTCTAGCTCCCCTGCAGGGATATAACCCTACATACTCCTGAAGTCTGGGAAGTGTAGGGAGCTTGAAGCGAAAACAGAAAGTCCAGCGCCAACGCTGTTACATCGTCGAGTCAGAACCTCTGACTTATTAGGGCTTATACTAAGCCCTGAACCCTAAACGCTCAACCCCAAACCCCTGAACCCTCTGAGAACCCTAATCCAACAGCGCATGACCCCAATCATTGACGCCATCTCTTAGGCTTTAGGGTTTAGGGTTTACCCATAGGCCCCTAAGTAGTTCCTTTTTGTGGTTTGTATTTAGAATAGAATCTTACAAGGTAATCCCCAAAAGGAACTACTTAGGGGCCTATGGGCTAAGAGAAGGTAAGCGGCACATGCATCCGTTCCTCGCTTCATGCAGCGGCAGCAACCTTGCAAGAATAGCAAGGTTGCAATCGAGGCGTGACTCTTCGGGCCCGCCCCGCAGCGTCAAAAACTTAAACCCTAAGTTGAGGGTTCATGGTATGTCGAAGACGGTTTTGGGGCTCATTATGGTACAATTCACAGGGGCAGACTTCTTTTTCGGTTTAGGGTGTTTGGGTTCGCAGGTCGGTGTTGCTTCAAGCTTTCAGCTATAAGTATATAAGACTGAGGCTTGGGTTTAGATGAGATGGCATTGAGGGTTAAGCTTTTGGCCTTGGCTTTAGGCGTTTTAGTTGTTGAAAGTCTCACCAAGTTGTTGTCATAGAGACTCGGCGAGGGTCCGGAGGATTTGCCCTGTCAGGTCTATAGGATTTGGAGTGTCCTTGTTGTACCTGTAGCCCCAACGACCCTATACCCTCAACCTCACAATCTAGCGGCAACTGAAACTAAAACATCCTTAACAAGAATCCATGAAGCTGAAGCCCCTACCCGGCCTCTGCTGGCTGCCTGCTACCTCGAAGCTTCCTCCACCTGGGGCAGGGGGTTCCCGAAAGTGCCATGTAGAGTTGTTAAAGGGGCTCTGAGAGTTGTCGAGTTGTTATGAGGTCTTGAAATGAGGGTATTATGAGGGGGGGGTTAGTACCGGGGTCTTCATAGATAGAATCAAACTACTTTAGGAGTTCCGATAAGAGGGTTCTATAACTCAGGAATATACCTGTTCATTCCGACCCGTCTATGTGGTCTCTCTGAAAAGGTTCCACAACGAGTGGTACAAGGCTTACTAAACTGGTTTCGGGTGTGGGAATCTGGGAAGTGACCCTCAAATCCTTCGGACCCCTAAACCCTAAACCCACAAACCTTAAACCCTAAACCCTCCCTAAACCACTAAACCCTAACCCCTAAAAGCCCTAAACCCTAAAGGCCGGTGCAGGCTCCTACTTGCTGGACCCCTATACATCCCATAAAAGGGCCCCAAGTACTTACATAGTAGAAAGTAGGGTTCCTATCGGTTTAGGGCTTTAGGGTACTCTTGTGGTTTGGGCCACTTCCCCACAGCTAGGACCCCGATAGTGAATGCAGCTGAACCCTAAACCCTAAATGCTGCTAAACCCTAAACCCTAAACCCTACATGCTGCTAAACCCTAAACCCTAAACCCTATACGCTGAACCCTAAACCCTAAACCCTACATTCACCCTCAGAGCTGGTGGCTTCGAGTGAATAGTAGCTACCAGGAGTCGGCCATCGAGTTCTGCACTTTGGGGGTTTACCCATACGGAATTCGGAGTTTACTGACCAGGGGAGTTTAGAGCTTAGAGGTTTGAAGCTTAGTGCTTCAGGGCTTTCAGGTGCAGGGCTTAGGGAAGCTTAAGGTTTCGGGGCTCGAAGGACTTTTAGGAAAGTTTACGGGTTTATGACTCGAAGGACTTTTTAGGGAAGATTAAGGGTTCGGGGCTCGAAGGACTTTGGAACCTCTAAGTTTGAAAACCTGCGGTCCGCAAGTGCTGCTGTTCAGCCTCGAAAAGCGGATGCCATGATCACCACAGCCGAATGATGGAGTCATATGCTTTTCTAAGCCGAAAAGCTCCCGGAACATGATCTGCTCAACGAGATAATTACAAAATCCAAGCTCTCATGCAGCCATGCCACTTCTTCATGATCTTGGTGTGCAGTTGCGTGGCCTTCAAGACACCGATGGTTAGGAAGATCACGCCAAGCCTTTCGAGGCAGTGGTTACTGGGTGGATAATGTGGGAGCCTCAATAATTAGAATAGGGTTTCGGGGTACATTATACATCAGTGTACTGTGCTCATGTTAGGGACTATAGTGACAATAAGGGGTGGCCATTAATTATTCCTTAAGCCCTAGGTAGCCCCCCCAACAAAACAAAAAAGAAAACGACAGAGCGCTGAGAAAACCGTATAACAGCCACTGTACTTCCTAAGAGTCCACATACCTTGATAGTATGTACTTGGGCCTCCATACACTTCCACAGACTTCTTGTGAAAATCCCTGCTGTCATGCCATCTGCAACCGGGAAACCCATAACCCCAAACCCTATACCCCAAACCCCAAACCCTAAACTGGACTTTTTGGCCTGGGGTATTGCACAGGTTTCCTGCCTTGGGCTTGTTTCTTTGCAGGTTCGTGTCCCTCTCGCCCCCTTGAGTCGGCTAAGGTTTGGGGTTTAAGATGTGTAGGGCTTAGGAACTAAGCGTTTAGGGTTTAGGGCAGGAGCACTTCAAGTTCTGAGAACGGCTTCGGACTCCGGAACTTGGTGGTTAGGGAATGGGGGTTCCTTGACATCTTCCTTGGCAGATGATCTGCCGGCCCTGCATATTATGTACGTAGACTTCTCTTGTCCAAAGCAGACTTGCGGGGATTGAAGAAGTTAAGCCCCCAAAGCCCTACCTACCTTCGCTACCAATTCCTACGTATTGCAGGTGAGTTTTGTAATCCTCTGATATAAAAACTTCCGGGGGGGGGGGGGCCCCTAAAAGAACTGTGTCCAGCCCTGAACCCCAAAGCTCCAAAGCCCACGAAGGCTTTGGGATCACAGGAGAAAAGCGGGCGGGGGGCTTCAGGAAATACATCCTATAGTCTCCATTGTAGTTCCTTTTTTTGGTTTAACCAATTTTATATTAAGGATCCCAAAAGGTAACCCCAAAAAGGAACTACAATGGAGGCTATAGGTAGGGCTTCGACCAGACCCTGAGCCCTACAACCTTGGAGTCCCAAGCCGAAACGACGGAAGCTGAAACGCTGAACCCCAAATCCCTAAACCCTCCCTACCCTACCTCAGCCCTGAAACAACAGAACCCTAAACCTGAAATGTGGAAAGTCCTGCTGCCAAGCCGAGGAGCCACTTGAAGATGTAGAGGGTGATCCCATGAACGGTGTTGGGCATCCAGCTGCCGGAATGCCACATCTTGGAGTCGGGGTAGCCTGCCATAGGGGAAAGGCTAAGGATCTAAAGCCCGGAGCTCTAATAGAAACTACCCATATCTTCTTCACAAAGAGTTGTAGGAACCCACCAAGGTAGGTGAAAGTTGACACAGCTACACCCTAAACCCTACACTCTAAACCCAGCAAGCTACCCCATTCGCCGATGTAGATGAGGACCACGGCTAGAGGCATTCCCAAGTTCATGGGAATGGCGGCTCCAAGGAAGTAGGCGGCGTCCCACCTGGAGTGCAGGGTTTAGGGCTTAGGATTCAGGGTTTGGGGGTTTCGGGGTTTTTTAAGATGCTTTGGTCGTGGGGCTTCTGCTTCCTGCCCTCGCTCAAGCTCATCCCGACTGGCTGGAGGTCCCCATCACGTGCCTCTGCCAGTGGGTCAGCTCGCCCCCGCGCTGCTTACACCTCCACCATCCGAACTGGAAGATGTTCGTGACCTCAATTCCCAATGAACAAGAAGCGTGAACTTCTCCGGTGATCACACCTCGCAGAGATCTAGAACTGGTTCGGCTCGGGGGTGCCGGACATGGCGCAAAAGCTTGGGAGCACAAACAGAGCTCAAATTCATTATCCTATATAGCCTGAAGAAACATAAATTGCCCCACAAGATGAAGAAGAGTCGTCTGGGCAGGGCTCGTGGAAATTTTGTAGCGGCGCCCCAGCCCTAAGAGTCAGGGTTCAGGGTGCAGCTGGGTTGAAACTGGGCCACAAGCAGCATTCCAGGGTGCCGTCTTGGATGAAAGCTGGTGGACTCTTATGTATAGTAGCAGGTGCAGTGCCTTACATATATGTTGTGCAGAAGGAGGGCAAGGAGAAGAAGACGTCACCGCGAAATTTAGAGCTGCATGGCGTATGAGTGAAGTTATGTCTACTCCCGCTCTTCTACATATCCCAACAACTTCTCAAGCAGCTGAGGTTACCGAGGTCCGGACAAGAACACTTGTCACGCAAAGCTCCAAGGCGTAGAAGAGATGCTCGATGTTGGTACCTGAATGAAACTAACACTAACTAACTAACACACATACACACACACGCACACAGACACATCACATGCACAAAACCAAAACATCAACAAAACGCCGCCGTGTACCCTTAGCTAGTGAGGCTGAGCCCTGCAACTCGAAGTAAGAGCACCAGGGAAACCGTAACCCCAAAGCCGCAAATGCCGAGAAGAAAAATGCCAACTAGAGCCAGAGCCAGCAAATCCGAAATCGAACATGACCACACCGTGTGTGAAGCTTCTAAGCTTCCAGTTTCCAGCTGCCACTGTCCCTGCACACTCGAGTTGGAAAAGGCTGGATATGGCTGGATGCAAGAGATGTCCCTGTCACTTTCTCAGGCCAAGCATCCAATTTGATACCATGCGATCTGAAAAAACCAGCCAACGATCAGAGGCCAACATCAGGTACCTCGGATTCGTAAGATTTCCGGTTCAGATGCACAGTGTTCCCAGTCAGCCGAACATCGGACTAGCTCGTACCTAGGCGGTGAATGGTGAATCAGGAACACCTTTAAACAAAGTCACATTCCTGGGCTGAAACACCCCGGAAGACTTGAAGAAGCCTCTTCAACGTTCGGGTTCCATGCTGCTTTGGGCTATCAAACACCTTATACAACTTTGGTATTTGGTTTCAGGAACAGGAACCCGTTACACAGGCAACGGGGCTTCTTTGGCTTACCCTGAATCACCCTTAACCCCAACCCTGAGCCCCTGGCCCCGAACCCCAGACCCTAAATCCCGAACTCAAAACCACAGACCTCCTAAACCCTAAAACTCCTCTTGGAACTCTTCATGTGGAGGCACCCACGAGGGACGGAATGGAGAGGAGCAACCTCGCAAACGCAAGCGGTCTTCCCCGCTGGAATCCCACAAGTGTTGTGGGACGTCCTTCAAAGGGGTTCTTTGGGGTTACGGCAGGTATTAACGGTGTAGGTTTGTACGGGAAGCCATTTTTGGCAACTTTGCATCTCAGCTATACACATTGAGAGAGGGTTTAGGGGCTTTTGGTAGAAGCCAGTTTAGGGTTTCACTGTGTTCCTGGGGTTAGTTATATATATATGTACATGCATACATACCTTAACCGAAAACCACGGCTGATCTTTCGGGTCGATAAAGCTCGAGGAGGAAAGGCTATGTGTTTAGAGGTAGACCTCCAACCAATCAAGGCCTCGGATGATATTCTGATGTTCGTAACCCCAAAGCCTGACCCGAAAAAACCTTCAACCCTAAACTCAAAATCCTCGGCCCTAATCTATGGATGCGCGTTGCCTTATTCCAGGAGAGACAGACACTGTCAACTGTCAACCTGTGGTCTTCATTATGCTACAAGTCCTGCACCGTCTATATAAGGATTGCATTTCGGGCGCCTGGTTCAGGGTTTGGCTTTAGTGAGCGCCAGTTTACCATAATTTGGGGTAACTGTTGCCCTTTATTCCTTTAAGGTTGTATATATTTATGGGCAACTTGGCTTTCCAGGTACAGATTAGGGTTTAGGGTTCGGGGATCGGGTTCGGGTTTCGGCATTAAGGTGAAGGCGGGGTATTGGGCCTTCCTGCATCCGGTTTTTGGGCCGGCGGTTGTGATTCTAGTTGTTGCGGATGATCATACACACCCTAATCAGAACCCCATTCTACTAGACATTCTCAACGTCACCGCCCCTTTTGGTGAAGCCTTCCAACGCACAAGCCGGGGCAACACATAAACTTCTGAGATACACGTCAACAGATTAAATTCCACAACCCTGAGAGCCCAAACCCAAGAGACCCCAGAAGATACACGTCCGCTCCTAATTCCTCCGTGGAATCATCGAGGAGCATGAAGCGAGTCGAAGGGGTTTCATGGTGCGCTGTTCGATCTATTCCCGGAAGCACATAAACGCAGTCAAACCCAAAATTTGTCTGGCATCCCCGACACAACCAAAATGAAAGGGGATGATGATTCGGAATGGTGTTTCGGAGAATATCATCGCATACTGCAGAATAGCCTTACGAACTCTTCCTGGACACTTTTTGGTTCTCAGAGCCATTGAGATCCACACCCAAGACCGAAACCAGCCCCTTAACCCTCCACCCAGAGAGTTTAGGTAGGGTACTTTGGGAACACTGAGACTGGGGGCTCAGTAAGTAGGGTGAAAAGCTAAAAGTACCTTTTTAGGTGGGTTATATGCAATTTTAGAAGCTATAGTCACCCTGACCGGGCACATCAGAATCTATCTGAGTCAGTTAATATGAGAGCTTGGTCAAGTCTAGTCATGCACGTTTCGCATTTCGAAACCAGGCAGCGTGAATGAGTGTACATTCGGCTTCCCTGTCGGGGTACTTCTACGAAAAAACAGCTCAAGGTCTACAGCGTATCCTAGGGGCCGTAGTGATTCGGGACTACCAAGGAGGAGTTACAAGTTATTGTGCAGGCCCATATTTTCAATCCGAAACAACCCTTCTACAGCCCCCTGCACAATCCTGTACACAGGCATTACCATTCTTGGTGCCGCAAGGGCACGAGCATACGGCTGCGCAGACCCCTCTCTTCTCCGCCACCTCGTCCTGAGCTGCTGCTACTTGACTGATCCGGAAACCTTATAATCTGCTTGAGAGTTTAGGGCTTACCCATAGGCCCCTAAGTAGTTCTTTTTTGGGATTACCTTATAGGATTCTAAGTATAAACCACGAAAAGGAACTACTTAGGGGCCTATGGGTAGGGTTTAGGGATAAACTCGAGTATCTTAATTGGGCTTGCAAGTCACTATTATACTGTTAAATACTGCAGGTACTTAGAGCCCTATACTTACTCCGAAAGATGGTCCTGCAAGCATCTTCCTGTTTTTGGGGCAGGGCGCAGAAATAGTTCGACTAAGGTGTCGGCGCATATCATGGTGTGGCATACCAGAAGTATATCGGTTATATCGGGAGGAGATGGGCCGTAACGAACAGCACTTTGGGAGTTTCTCTGCTGGAATATGTAATGCGACAGGACTATCAGGAACTATATCACTACTATCTGTTCAGACTTCTACTATCGGCCTACCAGTAAGCCCTGATAAAACCCCAGTAAAATTGGCTCCTCCAAAGAACCACCAAGACATCTAAGCCAACAAAAACCAAGTCTAAATCCATGTGAATGCCCTACATCCCTGAAACTCCGAAGGCCCTACATGCTTGCGAAGACCTTCATTCCTTGTAGATCCCATATAGACCACCCTGAAACTCTGAGACAAGCAACGGGGGCGTCAGCATTGCCACCCTTCGGTGGCGCCTCGATTCCTCAGCCGCCTTGCCAACAGGCCCAAAGCCCATCAAGAGGTTCAGGATTTATCGGACCCCAAGCCCCTAAACCCTAAAACCCAATCTGCTCAAACCCTGAACCGACAATTTGGGCCTTTCAGGGTTTAATAGGTTGAAGGTACCTTGAGGCGATTGCCGGATTGGAGTTGAGGGTGGGCTTAGGTTCTTGTTGAGCTCTAAACTCTAAACTTAAGCCTAAATCCAAACATCTTATACACCCTAAACCCTTATAAGCCCTAAACCCCAACCCTGAAACCCCAAAACCGTCTAGACCATGAACCCCCCCAACCCCCCCCCCCCCTCACCCCTTCATCCAACCCTGCCAGGGATGAGTCTGAGGCTTGGAGTTGCAAAGTTGCAGTTGAGTCTGGCCATGCCCATAGGCTCCTAACTAGTTCCTTTTTGTGGTCCATATTTAGAATCCTATTAATCCTATAAGGTAACCCCAAAAAGGAACTACTTAGGAGCCTATGGGTACGTCTGTTCCCGGTCGAACCCAAAGGGTCCAATAAGGGCTCTTAAGTACCGATCATATAGTAGAATGTTGGGTTTCTATATAGGAATTACTATCATGATTTAGGGAAGTATCTCACATACCAGTGCGTAGGACCCTTTGGGAAAGGGATGCTGGGAGGTTGCCCACATTTGGTTTAGGGTTTAGGCCAGGGTTCAGGTTTCGGTTGACTACATAAACCTTTAACCTTAAAACTGTATTCGGTCAAACCTTGATATGGCATAAGCCTTACATGTTGAACTACATCATATATTCCAACTCTATGTGCTAAGGCCTCGACCAGAAACCAAAGTTTTCTACTGCAAAGCCCGGACCGGCCCGACACAAACTCTCACTGCTATGTCGGGGATACTTCCCTAAACCATAATAGGAACTCCTTATATAAAAACCCTACATTCCACTATGCAGGTACATAGGACCCTTCGGATTATATAAGTCTCTAAGGCCCCCTCTGCAGTTCAAGCTTCGTTACGAACACTCTTGGATTGAAGGTTCAGGGCCCTCAGGGTACTTGATAAACGCTTCTGAAGCCATGATACATCACACAAAAAAATCCTCATAACAAACTCCCCAAACAAAAGGCACCTGTCTGGAACTGTTGTTGCGTCATTCTCCGCTCTCCCAAGCTGGCGGAGTGAGGAA